TTGAATAGCAACATCCTCCAGTTGGAGGAAAACCTGCTGTCGCCACGCACAGCCCACATTTGCATGCATGCACTGTCCTGCCAAGCACTCGGTGGCACTGTGTCTGCCAACTGACAGGCAGCCCGTGGATCCCAGCCCTGATAAGTTTTCTAGTTTCTCAAATTATCTGTGTTTTACTTCGCTTTCATGCTCAAAGCATAACAAATGTCTTTGATATGTTTCTGTGTGCTGTGGAATGCCAATGGCATCAATTGAACTGTATTACACCGTGGAAAAAGCTGTTTTGCAGAGCCTCAATTGGCCATAAGCTATAAATATCTGCTGTTTCATGATGCCTTTGATTACTACATAAACTCTGATCATTAAACATTGATCAAAGATGGCGTGGGATCAAATGGCATTATGCTATGATGATATGGATGTGGTAGGCAAGGGTCAGGTTCAGGTGCTCTGTATATGCCCATACCCTCACCGTGGACAAGCTACCAGTGGCCTCAGATCTGTCTGTTTCTTTCTCTTTCAGGGTAATTTTAATGAAATGCATTGTGCTAGGATGTTTATGACTTGTAATATGTTTCCTTCGAAACTTAAAAATTTTTATGTGACCACTTCTGCCTTTTAGGAACACTTATAAATACAGAAAGATGAAAAGTTGGAAAAATAATAAAAATAGCTAAACAGACACAGCACCCAAATAGAAAGAGATACAGACAGAGAGACATACAGACAGATAGCCTTTTGTAGTTTTAAATAACGTTGTATTTCCTTTTCTTATTGAAAACAAGTAATAGCTATTGATTGTAGAAAGTTTGAAAAATACAGAAAAAAAATTACCCAAGGCCTAAGTATCAGAAATAATTTTATTAACATTTTTGGTTTGTATCCTTTTATTTTTGTACTATGCACAATTGCTTTTCCAAACATTACAATAAACCGTGCATCTGTTCATGTCATACTGGCTTTAGCACTCTTTTCTTCGCTTAGATATTTATCATGAACATTTCTCTTTGGCATTAAATATTCTCCTATAACGTCAGTTATAATATATGTGTGTCAAACCATGTGACTGTTCCATAATTAATTTAACTAATCCCCTATTGTTGGACATAAATACCTTTTTTCTTCATCTTGTAAACTATCTAGCACACTGGGAATCACTGAACAGAAGACAGGTTGAAATGAACTAAAGTCTAAATTAAATAAGTAGTTTAAAGATCAACTTATAAAACAACATTTATATTCACATCCAACACTATAAATGAAACCAAAACTTCTAAGTGAATTAAAGTCAGTGGAGAGTTTTTAAATATCTAATTTTTTTTTCTTGTTCAGTTAAGCAAAGCCACATCTCAATAGAGAATTCTCTCTCCCACTTATGGTCGATAATATGCTTCTTTCTATTCTCTCAGGAAACTCCCATAGACATCAAGTTTATACTGATTATTTGTCTCTAGAATCAGAGTTTTCATTTGCAGTAACTACAATTTAGATGCAAGATCATTAGCAAAATCCCCAAGAAATTATCTGATTGTGAATCTGCTACTTGATTGGGGTATTACAATCATTTACTGTTCCACTTCTCTGATGTCAGAACAACTGAAGTGATACAAAATGGTTGCTTAGTTTTGTTATGAAAATAATATCTATGAAATTTGGTCTAATGGAGATAGTGCTGAGTAATAGGTTAGTTCTCTCATCTGGAAAGAAGAAAGTTTAACTAGATGATCTCTAAGTTTTTCTTTTCCTCTCAAATGCTCTGATCTATTGATATTTCAATTTTTCATTTTCAGATAAGAGCAAGTCTCAAATATTTAGCACATTGAATAAGCTTGTCTTACAAAATAAAGACCACATTTGAGCATGAGAAGTGTATGGAGATATAGAGAGATAAATAGATAGATAGATATAGATATAGGTACAGATATAGACACAGATATGTATGTATTTGTTTCAGTGCCCCCTCAATAGGCCCCCACCTCCCAATATTCGTGCTTGCCATTAAAACTGGGCTGACCTTGTGACCTACTTTAACCAATAAAACACAACAGAAGGAATGCTGCCTGAAGTGATGTCTCGAACTGAAGGTTTGATACATCCTAGAGGCTTATGCTTTTGCACTCTTAAAAGTCAGCTGCTGGGTGAGAAATCTGACCACCCTTGGACTGCCATGCTGTGAGGAAGCCCAAGCAGCCCATTTCTATGCCTAGAGGAGAAATGAGGCCCCAGCCAACAGCCCGAAGGAGAGCTCCCTGCCAGCTCTTTAACCATGTGAATGACACCATTCTGGACATTTCAGCTGTCTCACCACCTGGGTGACACCACACAAAGAAGAAATGCCTGGTCAACTCACAAAATGATGAGAAATAATTGTCGTATTATAAACCCCTGAGTTTGGGGATAGTTTGTTATGCAGCAATAGAAAATTATATATATTAACTGCTATGGGGAATGCAGAATAGGATCAGATGTAATTTCTTTTCATATTTGCATGACTGGCATACATATGTATATGTGTATATACATGTGTGTATATTACTATTACAATAGTAATAAAATTCACATGATTCAGCTTAGAAACAAAATCATATAGCTTGACTTGAGATAAATTTATTGTCCCCTTTACCATAAAGGTGGTTTTGTGAATCATTAGATTCTTGAATTAATATGAAGAATATTTGGCTTATGTTGTTCCTATGATAGATTCAAATCAACAGATTCATGAATACACTTTTCACTCTAGGTCAGGAGAAATTGCATTCCAAAGTAACCCAGTTAAATTGAGTGGAATTTGTACTCACCAAGTTCTGAGTACATAATACGTGTGATAAATGTGTCTGACTTGCACTGATGTGACAGGGCCCAGTGGGCCAGTGATGGAAATAAAGCTGCCAGCTTCTGCCGTAGGGAAGGACAATAGGCGGTTATGTCCCTCCAACCAGCCTGCAGCCTGCCTTAAAAACAGATGTGTCTCACTTCGACTACGGGCAGGGACTTTCTGCAAGAGACGGTGGCACAATCAAGCCCAGTCACAGAACATCTTTTCTCCTCACCTCACCAATGAGTAGCATAAACAAAATGACAACCACCACACAATTTCAGCAGCAGCAGCAGCAACACAAGAAGAGGCTTATCCCCTGAGCTTCCTAACACGGCAGCCAAGGAAAGCAATGCCCTACTTAGGGCGGTGCAGCGTAGTCCGCTGAGCTGTTGCTGTGGAGGAACAACACAGGGCTGGTGGTTTTCATCCACATCCCCCGCAGGGCGGAGAGGCCACTGGAGGGGTGAGAAAGATGTCTGAGAGAAAGGGAAAGAAAAGCCAGTAAGAGTAGAAACACTTCCTTGCACCAAAGGCTCTCAGAAGAGGCAGAGGGACCAGCCAGGGCCAGTATCTTTCAGGCATCAACAAGAAACCACATCTGGGGGATGTCCCCAAGAGACACCTCAGTGCAGTAGATTGAACTTGTAACTGAGCAGCAACAACAATGAAAAATTCGATGAAAAAGCAGAACTCAAGGCCTCCTTCAAGGGCTGCTCACACTCCCCGCCAGGCATGCCCTCCCCCACCATCTCACCAACTTCAGGAAAAGTGGATGGAAGTGTGTCCTTCTGTGGCTTGGAGGGAAAGATCAATTGTTCTCAAATTAAATGGGAAGGATTCACTTTTACCAAGTCAGAGCAAATAGAAGATCAAGACAAAGCTTCTCTGATTAGGTTTGTCTAAAATGTTTTTAAAAGTGAAATTTCAAACTTGTATTACTTTTTATGAAAAAGAACGAAAGGAACTAGTGGGACTCATACAGCAAAAAGTTGAATGGTGGTAACCAGGGGCTGTGGGAGAAGAGGGAGGTTTGGGGTACAAACTTTCCATTAGACGGGAGAAATAAGTTCAGGAGATTTGTTGAATAATATAGTGATTATAGTTAGTTAGAATGCATAATGTACTTGAAAATTGCTAAGGAAGTAGACTTTAAGTGTTCTTACTACAAAAAAAAGATAAGTATATAAAGTAATGGATATATTAATTAGCATTATTTAGCCAGTCCGCAATGTATACATGTACTAAAACATCATGTTGGAAATTATACATATCTACAATGTTTATTTATCAGTTAAAAAATAAATAAAATAAAAAATTCTTGAAAAGAAAGGAACTTTGCATACTGCATTTATTAACTGATGCTACATTGCACATCAACACAGAACTCAGTGGCATTAAACAACATTTAATTATTTTTCACACATCTGTGGTTTGTCCAGGGGTCAGGACAGGCTCAGTTAGGATGTCTCTGCTTTCTATGTTTCTCATCTGTTTCCTGAAAGCTGTGGGAGATGTTTTGCTCATAGTAATGGCAAAGGCACCAGAAGGCAAATAGAAATACACAAGGCCTGTTAAAGCCTAGACCTAAACTAATACACCATTATTTCTGCTTTCTCCTATTTACCAAAGCATAGCCATGGCCAAACCCAAAGTCAAGGAGCAAGGAAAAAGCACTACCCTTTTAGAGAGATAAGTTACAATGTCACACAGCAAAGAGCATGGATAAAATGTAGAGAAATGAATTGGGCCAATAGAGCAAACCACCACACATGCAAAGACAAAAGTCCCAGTCTGGATGAAAGCTTTATGCAAGGAACAAAAAAATGAAAATTCCTCATTTGTCTTTTATGCTATAGAAATAAAAATTGTAACATCATTGACTGAGTGAAATAAATGAGCAACAATAAAACCATGTAATAAAGCAAAAAAGCAGATCATGGTGCTTGTAAAAACAAAGTGAGGGACGTAAACACCACTGTTTTATAGCTGATAAATACATTTGATGTTGCTGAAAATCAAATGACTGGAATGGAGAAAAAGCTTGGGATTATCACCATGGATGCAGAGGGAGAGGGTAACCGAGGACCTCAATCAAGTCAGACGATGATCCAAAAGGAAAGGACTTCACTACTGGCTCCACTGTGAAACTATCAGGCAGGACATCAATCAGCCCAGCTCATACCTGGAAGATCGGGAAGATCCGTTGTCAGGCTTGCTATGAAGAGACTCACGGGAGGGTAGCAGGCAGCTTCCACAGGGACCACACAGTTGTTGACATCAAGGAGCCTTTCTTCTTTACAAAAACATAACAGAAGTGTTACTAAGCAAAGCATATGTGGTTGCATTAACCCAGAAATCTGGGGAAATAAAGAAAGAAAAACAATAAAATTTAGCTCAAGGATGATCCATCCTCAGAAAAGTGGAACATGTTCTTCTCAGCTTGCGGCCCTCAGTTTCCAAAGTGTTATCGTTAGTATTAGGCCTGAAAACATTGTCTTTATCTAAAATACTGTTTCCAGAGGAGGATATGCTTAAAATTAACTAACTAGCTTACCAACTTTGTAACACAACCCATTTTCAAATTGGGACTGCCCGGGACTGATATGATTTGTTACCGTGTGAATTATTATACATAAAATATAGGAATAAATCTCTCTGGAAAATATTTTAAAAGTGTTATCAGTGGTTAATTTCTGCAGTATTGGATAAGGTTAGTGTTGCTTTTCCAATTTGTACTTTTCTGTGCTTTTCAAGTTTGCTAAAATATACCTGTAATGCTTAGGTATTCAAAAAGTGTCAAGGTTTGATTTTTAGTCATTTATACAGATGTTAGGTGGACTACTTTTATTGCAATGACAGTCTGACCTGCCTAATTATTTCAAACTGGACTTCACAAGCTAGCTGGGTCACCAAAATTTGAGCTCTCATCCAAAGATTTGACTGTATTTTAAATATAAGAACTTGATTTTTATCAGTGAATCCATTAGTAAGAGCCTGAAGGATTAATTAACTTTGGCCAAACTTTTAAGAGACTGATTTTTAACCCAGAAGCCCAATATAGTCATACTAAACTGTAGTGAAGGGGAACACTATTCCTGGGACCCAGACACACACTTTCAGGTGTGAGGTCCAGACAGGAATGGACTTGGAATTAGTGCGCATTAAGTTTGGTCATATGCTACAGAAAACTCGAACTAATAGCAATTTGAACCCCAAGGCTTTATTCTCCCACACACAAATCCAACAGTCTGCATTCCAACAGAGCCAGTTCACAAAATCATCGGAGACACCTTCCAGCTTGCTGCCTCTCCACACCTAGAATAAAGCTGCCATCAATGTGGAGCTGCAGCCACGTGTTTCACTTGAGAAGACCGAGGAAAGAGGAGGGTACAGAACCTCCCCTTTAAGGGCACTTTCAAAAGTTGCTTATGTCCCTTTTCTCAGGTACCATTGGTCCATATCCAACTGAATGGCCACATCCAGCCACAAGAAGGGTTGGGACATGAAGTCTGTATTCTAGCTGGTATGTATCCTTTACCGAGGGTCATGGGGAGAACACATATCAGATAAGCAGCAATCTCTGCCACCCAGTGGGAGAAAAATAAATAGATAACATAAAACCCATGTGATGGAAGGATGCTCATATTAAACTGGGTCTATCTTCCTCTATACTTTAAGGGCAATTTCATCTTTAAAACGAACACTGATTGTGTTCGTTTAATTAAAATCACACCCTCTCCCGGTCAGTTCAAAGCTATATCTCACAAATTAAGCCTGTGGCATCTCTTCTTTCTCTACATTACCTACTGTTTCCTAGAGACTTCCATCTCACCTGCCGATATAATTCCCGAGATAATAACTCCTCTGATATTAGTTTTATTTTGGGCATCTTTTTACAGATTTCAATCACTGGGGCATCTTTCTGAAGTGGCTATGCTTTGAGATATTCTTCCTTCGTTTCCCTGGATAAATGGGTTTGATTCCATAGATGCCAGAGCAGGTTTGGGTTGTTTGCTGTCTCCAGGCACCTCACAGTTGACCCCAGCACCCCCAAACATCTGGCCAGGTCAGACGGGCCCTCCTGGTCCACTCACAATCTATAAGGCTCTCTCATCCTCTAAGCTCAGTAAGTAGCTGAATGTCCCAGGAGGGCACCAAACTAAGACTTTTACCCACGAAGAGCACAGAACTGAAATGCAGTATCCCACAGTTGGTCATCTAACTAGTCATCCTAACCTCCATTTCCTGTTTGGGATCACTATGTCAGTGAAATGCAAGAATACTGAGGAGAGAGTGAGGCAGAGGAGGAAGAGCAAGAATGGTCTGATGAACAAAGACAGAGGGTGTGGAGGTGTTCAGTGATCACAACGGCAAAGTGCACACACCAAGCTATCTTGAAACTGTGTTTTCTGTGCATCAAAGATCCTATATTACTTTTGCTGTTGTGATTTTTTTTTAGTCTTACCGTTGATTTACAGGGAAATAAAATCCTTCTCATCTATGAGTGAGATAAGCCAAGTTCACTTCTGACTGTCCATTGTCTAAAACAGGACCTACCATTTGGTAATGCTCAATGAGATACTGGATGATCGATCAACTAATGATTTATATATTTTAAGTGTATATTTCTCGAAGTAAATTTAAATTTAATATTTACAAATTTCTAATAAATTAGCAAATTCTCATCCCTCTGGGTAAATAGACAGTGTACCAATGTCTCTCAAGCTCTTCTCCTGATTTGTCACTGTTTATACCAGCTCGGTAGGAAAAGCTTTCATTTCCCTGCAAAATTGTGTGTGAACAAACTGCAAGTCTATAAACTTGTGTGTGAGTGTGTGTGCCTGTAAGGTGTTAAGAAGTTATTTACAGAAGGAAGATTCTTCACCTTCCATTCCAGGGAACCAAAGTCAAGGAACAGCACAATCTGTCTCTGTGTGTGTTCCCAGGAGTCATAAATAAGTTAAGTTTTCATAAATCAAGTGAAATTGAAATACAACATAAACTCTCTATAAAAAAAAAAAAAACTCATGGTAAATACTTTTTGGAATGATAGTAGCTACCCCTCTTCCTAAAACTGGATTATTCTAAAGTCAGGAATTCTTAAAGAGAATTAATCTACTTTTATAAATAGGTATAAAAACACTTATTTATATCGTAAATAGACATTATACAACCTACCATATGAGGCCATTTTAAAAATCATGAAACAGCTTAATTGAAATTTAGGCATCAGATAACTTAAGGATGTGTGCCAATTTTAAGCACTGCATTATATTTCTAAACTTTGCTAGGCCTGAAGAGGCCGAGGAAAGCATTCGCTTACGTAGTCATTAACTTTAATAATTTCTTTTAAAAAAAATTGCTTCTAAGTCAAGTTATAGCTATGTTTTTAAAAAGCTCTGACTTCACGATAGTGCGGTATATCAGTATAGTAAAATTGCATTTGTATCCCATGAATCTATGAAAATAAAAAAGATTAATAACATTTTTTTTTCAAAAAAGCAAAAATCATCCTTATAATTAGTCAATAAAGATGAACACTAAGTCAAAGATCTTAAGATTTCCTCAAAACTTGTATGTCTCTTTTGAAACCCTGGGGTAGGGAGGAGTAGCTAACTCCAGTCATGCAGGAACAGGAAGCAATAGCTTTGGACACAGTATGTGGAGAGATACCATAAGGGCTCATTGGGACCTAAGCCTTTCTCCATCTGTTCTGCCATATTTGTCTAAAACCTCCACTATAGCAGTTATTATTATTTAGGGTAAAGGTCATGTCTAGAAGGCCAATGTTAGTTTTCTCAGGAGGGGCAACCACACATCAGTAAAGGATTATCAGATACACTGGCCTGAAAGATCAAGACTGGCCAACCCCATGAGAATGGCCAATGGAACACGTGTGTGTGTCCAGGAGTGAATGGCATGACTACTCCCAGAGCACATCATCGTGCCTGAAACATAATATAAGCATAATCATTTTAAGTTAATGACTTAGCAAAAGTTATATAGAACTAGGTGAGGGCATTACAGTGAGACTCATTGAGGCCACAGATGGGCTGTAGGTACAAGAGGAGGATAACGGCTAAGCTGTGAAAACAAGGAGATACTAAAACACTGAGGCTTAAAGAACATAGATGTTTATTTCTCCCTTACATAACTCTGGAGGTGGGAGCCTTTCATGGCCTTAGGTCTCTTCCATCTTGTTGCACTGCGCTCCTCTCGAATGCCATGGTCATCTGGGTGGCAGGAGCCAGGTCACGGCTATGGAAACAGTTCCCATCTTACCCTGAGGGAGGGGGGAGGGAGAAAAGGGAGGAGCACATTTCCTTGTTTTAAGGTCAAGACCTGGAAGTGCCTCACAAAACCTTCACTTACATCCACTGACTATTTCTAATCATCAAAGAAGCTGAGAAATCTCATCTCAAGTGAGAGCTCATGGGCCAGCAGAAACTCATCCCTACAGAACAGAGGGATGGATGGCAGCAGGGAGTGGATATCTAGCAGGCATTCAAGATGGGGAACAGGCTCTGGAAGACCAACTGGTCTTTGCTGTGGAGTCAAGGCTAGCTCTTTCACTTTCTCTGAGGCCTGTCTCCTGCATGGCCACCAGGTGCCAGTGATGGCCGTGGGCTGTGGGGTCCAAGAAGGGACAGTGCCTTCTGTTCCCGAGAAAAGCTTCGGCATGGCAGCATCCATCTAGTTGAAGTTGACTATTCCAGAGAAGTAAACGCATTGCTTAAAACTTCGGCACTATTCCTACTTTACTTTCTTTCTTTTTTTTTTTTCTTTTTTTTTTATTTTTTTGGCTTTTTGAGGAAACAGTCTTGACATTAGAATTCTGAAAATGAAGTAAACACTCTAGTCAGTTCTTTTCCATTTACTCATATTTGAGAGAGTTGGCTGCCAAGCTAAAAGGCACTAATGTATTCTCCTCACTCCAAATACATCAAAGAAAGAATGAAAAGATACTGCAAGTAAAGTTTTCAAAGCTTTTTCTTTCTTTTTTTCTTTTTTTTTTTTTTTCCGAGCTGGCTATTTAATGGAAATGACTACTGCGAAGTCCATAGATTATCCTTATTTAAAAAAGGAGGGGAGGAGAAATCCATTTGATGCTTTGTAAAGAGTAACTTTTCGACTTCCAAGTACTTTTAATCCAGGTGCTTCATAAAGGTGATACTCTGGGTTACCGCTTTCAAGACAGGAAGTCCCTGCTCGCACGTGGGAGCTGCCTTAATGCCGAGGGAATGTAGCTCTGCTGAGGCTTCGCTGAGAAAATGTCTTAACCTTCTTAGCAGCCAACACTGGTCACCATTACCAT